ATCTGTATGATGGTTCCATACACCAGGGTAGCGTATATACAATTTTTTAGCCAAATCAATTGATAAATGTGGTCAAGACCAATATGGGCCTTACTCTGAAAATTTCAAATTTTGCCAAATAAGGCCAAAAATGAAAAAAGTGGGCATGACCCCAAAAATAGCTTAAATCATACGATGGATATATAAATATAAAATCGGTTTGTACCCTAATCCGTGAGTTATGATCGATATCATGACCTACAAAAGCGATTTAAGTTATCTTGAATGTTTGGGAAGAATTTCTGGAAGGATAGAAATCATTATTTTGTTCACAAAAAATCCGCTGAATTCAATATGATAATACAAATTGAAAAAAATTGACAAAAGGAGAATAACAAATTGAAAAAATCTTCAACTTGTTTTCTGATTTTTTACAGCAAATATTTAAAGATCCTCCTTAAGTTTGTCAATTATTTTAAAATTCGATTCCATAGAAATTTTTTTTCGATTTGTTCCCGATTTGAGAGTTTTTGCAATAAGATCTCTTTTTCTTGATTTTTTTAGCGATTTTGAAAAATAATTTATCTTTTAACTTTGGCGTGACCGCGTTAAATTATTTCGATATCGTCTATTCCGTTACGCCACCACATAATTCGGTACTACACTTCCACGTAACCCGCCATCAATTTTAGTTCTCAAGAAATCAAGTCAATTAAATAAATTGGTATTAATATTCGAATTCAAAAATAAAATACAAAAAACACTACAAATGTACATTAGAAAGAAGTAAGTCAAAATGGAAAAAAATCATGCAAAATAAAACATTACTATTGTACATTTCAAAAGTCAAAATAAAAATGTTAATATATCACATTTTTACGCGATTTTTTTGTATATTATCCTTTTCGGACAGGAGACAATTCCGAATTTGTATGAATCGTTAGAATCAGTCCAGCGGTTCTTAAGTTATAAGCGTAGTAACTAACACAACTTTCTTTTATATATATATAGATAGATAGATAAGTTAACAATCCTTAGTTCTTTGCAAGAAAATTTTTCAGTGAGAGTTGTTCCTTTTTTGTAAGAATTTTTTCTTAACAATTGAGGGTCTTTAACAAGAAGCATTCGACAGAGCTATTTTTTGTAACAGGTTCCCTCCATACTATGAGGGTATGAGTAATAATAATAATAATATAATAATAATAATAATAATAATAATAATAATAATATAATAATAATAATAATAATAATAATAATAATAATAATAATAATAATAATAATAATAATAATAATAATAATAATAATAATAATAATAATAATATAATAATAATAATATAATAATAATAATAATAATAATAATAATAATAATAATAATAATGATAATAATAATAATGATAATAATAATAATGATAATAATAATGATAATAATAATAATAATAATAATAATAATAATAATAATAATAATAATAATATAATAATAATAATAATAATAATAATAATAATAATAATAACAATAATAATAATAATAATAATAATAATAATAATAATAATAATAATAATAATAATAATAATAATAATAATAATAATAATAATAATAATAATAATAATAATAATAATAATAATAATAATAATAATAATAATAATAATAATAATAATAATAATAATAATAATAATAATAATAATAATAATAACAATAATAATAATAATAATAATAATAATAATAATAATAATAATAATAATAATAATAATAATAATAATAATAATAATAATAATAATAATAATAATAATAATAATAATATACGTATATATATTCTTGATCTGCGCAAAATTCTAAGACGTCGGTCTGTTTTAATCACGCCAGAGTCTAAAGGAGGAAGCTACAATTTTCCACAGATCAGTTTTTCGTCTGCAGGCCGTATAGGCCCTCCTATAACAGTACCCGCCGGTATTCGGCATGTTGATGATTGCAGCCAAATTTTTCAATTGAATTGTCTGAAAATCCTTGCAAGAAGTTCCTTCTTAGTACTTTACCCGCCGGAAAGATAATTGTCTATATAGGTCCACTATATCGAATAGCCCCAATACAACGGTAGACCCCGCTTCCGATGTTTGCCATTTTTATGATTATAGCGACATTTTTTTCAGAATTGTTTCAAATTTCGAATATAAAGTTCGTAATGGGTACTACAGTTTATGACAAAAATTGTATATGCAGGACCGCGACTTCGTATAGCTGCCATATAACTGTATTCTTCGGAGAGGTATTTTTCGACAGAGTTTTTTTTTGGAAAATTTTCAAGTTACTTCAAAATGGTATAGATTATTAAAATTTCACTCCTGGCTGCTTTTTCTTTCTTTTTTTATTCGCCTTCATTGATATTTTTGTCTACGGTATTTTGATAAATTTTATTCACATACACATACATTTTATGCTCTTTCGATTTTTCTATCTATCATCTAAAAATACAAAGGGCCATGCCTCATTTCACACACGATAGATGGATGATTTCTTCGTAAACCTTGTCGCCTCCAAGAACTGTCCTCAAGATCTTGGACTTTCTATTATGAGGGAAGTTTGGTGCAGTTTATGGTTTAGCCTCCATTTGACTGTGCCTACGATATTTGGCATTTTTATGATTTAAGGTACATTAATCAAAGGAATTATTTCGAATTGGATATTTGGAGCTCTTAATGGGTACCATCTTCTACAACAGAATCCATGTTTTCATATAGCCATCATAAAGCAGAACCTTCCTTTATTTTGAATTTTTGAGCATTTTTGTCACATACATAAGAATTGGAAATTGTGACCCTTTGTTGGTGAGGTACCAGAAGGTGTTGACAGATATATATCATTTTCACAATAGATCTTGCTATTTCAAAAAAAAAAAAAAAAAAAAAAAATGGATGTGTGAAATTTTAAGAGATTTGGAAACTTACTTGATTTCTTTCTTTGAGCGTTTTGTTCTTCAAAAATCTTGTACCCAATGTGGTCCGATCTATACCATCTTTATAACATATCTTGTTTTGATGGAAATATTAAGATGTACAAAATCTGAAAGGAATCGGATGTTAATTTCGTGTTGTATGAGCTTCATGAATATTCAAATTGTTGACCCTTTGTGGGGGTCACACCAGACTTTGGGTTAATAAAAATATTGTGATTTGTGTACTTGAAGACAATCGGACTCTTACATCACATTTTATAAGAGTTATAATTATGTTTTTTCGCACCTAACCTGGCACTGATGCTAATATTAGGATTTGCAAAGTTGGAACAAAATCGGATTATCCATTCTTTTTCTGTACAGTAAATTATTTTCTTTCAAAATGTTGACATGTTGTGTTGGAGGTACTAGTAGGAGTGGACCGATATTACTCATCTCCGAACTCGATCTAAGTTTGACAATAACATTACGATGTACCAAGTTTGGATCTAATCGGATACTCCCTTCGAGAGTTGTCGGGCGAACTAACCAGACAGAAGGACAGACGGTCGGACATCGCTAAATCGTCTCTAAATGTCCTGAAAGGGATTTGGTCCACTGAGACCTAAGGTCTAAAACCGTTATTTTGATGGGGCACGTTTTGGCCGTATCAAATGATATATACCCTCTCTACCCATATGACTGAGGGTATAATAATCATAATTTTTGTAAAATGCCAAGTCATTCAAGTTATCCTCAAACTTCGAATATCGCTAATATTTTACATAATATAACTACTGCAGATTTTAGGCTTATGTCCAATGTCTAATTAAATTATACTTTAACTCTTGAATACTTGCGCTAATAAGTTTCAAGGTCTAGAAGGACAATAAGTGACCTTCAAGTCTATATACCTACTTTGTCAGCCAAAACTATTTTGAGAAATGTTATTAGAACAATTGGATAGACTCTAAAACAATAATGAGTTGATAAAATCTAGTGGAGAATGTTGTATTTCATTCGAAAATTATAACAGCTTTACACTCATTTATCCCCACTCCCTGGAGAACTGACAAATTTTCCTGAGTGTATTTGTCATGGTTACAGAGTGCGTGGCATGGTTGCCTTCATTTTTTTTTTTCTTTATTGAAATCAAGCTAATTAATAACTTTGAAGCAAAGTACAAACTTGTGTTCGGCCATATGACAGTAGTATCAGATGGTCGGAATTCCATAAAGTCATGCAGTCGCAGCAAAGAATTCGAATAAAAAAAAACATTTGTTTACCGCGCACTGCAGTGGGTCAACGACAAATGAGTGGTTACAGCGAAGGATATACCATGCTAAGCAATTATAGTTTTAAGTTTCCTACACAGAGTGTGTGTGCGCGGCACCATAGAGTTTTTGTTGGGGGCAATGATTTTTTAATGTAGCTGTAGGAACACACCCACTACCCCCTCCCCATGTGACACCTGTCACATAGCTAAGTCACTCAGCCGAGCGAGTTGGCCAGAGTCTCTGTTTAATAATGAAAATCACCATATAGTATAAATCAATTGGTTTACGTGTTCCGCTGAGACAGGTCGTAACGGAAAGAATAAAGTAATAACGTTCGCCGGTGTACAGTTCCTTTTGGCTGAGGAACAGCGGCCACCATCGAGTGCATGTGTCTATTCCCTAGTTGCTGGAAATAGTGACACTGTTACAATGTGTAATTTGGTTGGGGCGTTCTCTTGAAAATTACAACAAAAACAAACCAACAAAAACGATAAATAATACAAAAAAAAAAAAGAAAGTCTAAAAAAATTAAGAGCTTTTCACACCATCCACGCTGCCAAGAAAAATGTCTGGCAGTGCCTCAAGTATCAAAGCCATAATTCGTAAGTAGTTGTGTAAAAAAATAAATATTTACTAAAGGGACTACTTTAAATGTCCTTTGATGTCCTTAGTTAGGGTGCCAAGTGCAAGGTGTTTATCTGTGGTTTTTATTGATTCTCGTTTATTTTTCTCTAAATGTTAACAATTATACCGATTGTATTAATGCTAAATATAATATTTCTAACTGTGCAATTTTTTGTTGTTGTTTTATTTTTAGCTGAAGCCGATGCCAGTGATAAGGCCTCAACATTTGGCAAAGTCCTGCAATATTTGTCCATTGTATTGGTGATTTTAACCGCCCCATTCAGTTTATTCGTTTGTTTTAAGGTATGTTGTGAATATTTTAGGCTAAATGTGATTTGGATTCAGTTCAAAGGGTTATGAGATATTCCAGGATGAAAAATGTACACAAAATAATTTATATATGAGTATAACCAATGACCCTTCACCAAGCAGATATGACAAATACTTTTTCCCGGGTTCTTGAAATGTATTGGAAATAGAATTTGGGACTTATAACCGAATACGCCATATGGGAGGAATTTTCAAAATCTCGAAAAATCCATTTAAATACATCAAGATTCATAAAAATTCCGGAAATATGGAATTACCGTCACATTGGGGCCTATACGAAGACGTGCTGCTGTATACGTTATTTTTTGTCATAGGCTGTAGTACCTACTAAGAACTTCCAATCGAAAATCGAAGCAATTCCGGTGAATAATGTCGCTAAAATCATGAAAATAGCGAATATTGTGAGGTAACGTTATATGTGTGGGCTATACGAAAACGTGGACCGATATGGCCATTTACGAACTTGAACTGCCTGCAGGCAAAATACAAACGTGTGCAAAATTTTAGTCGTTTATCTAAATTTGTTTGAAAGAGAGCATGAATACAACAGACATACAGACGGACAATTTCGTTTGTAACTTCTTAAAATACTAATGTCAGACCCAACAAAGTATATATATTCTTGATCAGTGAAAAATTCTAAGTCGATTTAGCGATGCCCGTCTGTCTGTCCTCCATCCTAAACGTGTGACTGTTTGGTGTGGTCATTATTTGGGCATTACATATTTACTGCGAATGTATCGCTTTATCAAAAGAACATTAATGATTTTTTACTCTCAGAGTTCAATTATTATTGATGTGGTCAACATTTTCTTCCAACACGACGTGCTATGTGCCACACAAGCAATGTTTCCAAACCGTGTTATCAAAGTGTGGGAGTACGATTGGCCGTAGGGACCTTGTGATATCACCCTTCGGCGCCACGTAATAAATAGGGTTAACAGTGGAATGTGTTCCTCATAAGTGGAGATTACTTGAATTATTGCTAAGATTTTTTTAATACCCCCATTGTGTTTGGTATGAAAAATATTATACAACGGTCCACATTTCAGTATGGCCCCCCTATAGCGTTACTTCCTGATGTTCGGTATTTTTGACGTTTTTTGACCACAATTTTAAATCAAATTATGTGTAACTTGGCATTTCGAGTTCTGAGTAGATATAATATCTTCGTGCTCAAGATTGCTCCATTATTATTTGGTGTAGATCCCATATCAAAATTGAAGATGAGGCGAGTAACTCCACCACCGATTTTTAAAGAGATCGAATAACTGTTTATATCGTTTATACATCCCACTAATAATATTTAGGACAAAAGCGACAGAAAACTCTATTAAAAAAAAAAAAAAAAAAAAAAACAAACAAAATAGGGAACTTGATTACATTATTTTAAATTAAAACAAGTGAAAAAGTATCGGTCGGTTTTGCCGACAGATGTATACCCCCAGCCCTCTTCACCCTCTACGGAGTAGGTTTTGAAAAAACGGTCAATATTGACCATTTCGTATCCCACCTAAATAAATATGATATAAATATTATTATATATAAAAATAATTATATATATAAAAATAAAGTATAGCAGATGGATATAGCAATTGTAAAGAATCGCTGAGTTGCTTCGCAATTTATGATAGATAAAAATATTGAAAATTGTGTCCCTTTGTGGGTGAGGTACAAGAAGGTGTTCGCGGATATATAGCATATTCACAAGACATCTAGTGTTTGCAAAAATTATTGTATGTGTGAAATTTGAAGAGAGTTGGATCCTTATTTCGCTTTAATTGACTGTTATGTTTTTCAAAATTAGATTATTGCTTCCCTTTCTGTGCAGAAAATATTTCGACCATTTGCAGAAGAAGTGGACCGATATACTCCATCTTAACACCAGACCATGGCTAATAAAATGATTAGGATGGGTGAAATTTGAAGACAATCGAACTCTTAAATCACACTTTATGAGAGTTGTAATTATTCAAAATTTTGACCATTTGTGGGGGAGGTTCTTGAAGGAGTGAACCGATATTGTCCATTTTCGGCCCAGACCTAGCACTGTTGCAAATATTAGGATTTGCAAAGTTGGAGCAAAATCGGATCATCGTTTCTCTTTCTGTGCAAAAAATATATGTTTTGAAAATTTCGACCTTTTGTGGGGGAGGTACCAGAAGTAGTGGACCGATATTGCCCATTTTAACACCAGACCTTGGGTTAATATAAATATTTAGATGTATGAAATTATAAGGCAATTGGACTCTTACATCACATTTTATGAGAGTTGTAATTATTTAAAATGTTGACCCTTTGTGGGGGAGGTACCAGAAGGAGTGGAACAATATTGTCCATTTTCGCACCAGACCTAGCACTGATGCAAATGTTAGGATTTGCAAAGTTGGAGCAAAATCGGATAATCATTTTTCTTTCTGTGCAAAAAAATATATTTTATTTTTGAAAAATTCGACCATTTGTGGGGGAGGTACCAGAAGGAATGGACCGATACATTCCATCTTAACATCAGACCTTGGGTTAATATAAATATTGGGATGTGTAAAATGTGAAGACAATCGGACTCTTAAATCACATGATGAGAGTTGTAATTATTCAAAATTTTGACCATTTGTGGGGGAGGTACTTGATGGAGTGGACCGATATTGTCCATTTTCACACTTGACCTAGAACTGGTACAATTATTAGGATTTGCAAAGTTGGAGCAAAATCGGATTATCCCTTCTCTTTCTGTGCAAAGAATAAATTTTTTGCAAATTTCGACCTTTTGTGGGGGAGGTACCAGAAGGAGTAGACCGATCTTGCCCATCTCCGAACTCGATCTAAGTTTGACAAAAATATTACGATGTACCATGTTTGGACCAAATCGGATACTCCCTTCGAGAGTTATCGTGCGCACCAGCCAGACAGGCAGACAGACGGACGGACGGACGGACGGACATCGGTAGATCGACTCCAAATGTTCTGAAACGGATTTGGTCCAAAGAGACCTAGGGTCTAAAACCGTTATTTCGACTAGGCATGTTTTGACCGTGTCAAATGATATATACCCTCTGTAGCCATATGGCTGAGGGTATAACAAGTAAGCAAAGGCTATAGCTGTGCGGGGCCAACCATGTGATACTCTACAACACTACAATATGTTGGAAGCCCCCTTATGTCCAAATTTAATCTTTAAGATTTCAATTTTGAAATAATGTCATAGAGATTATTAAATTATTTTACTTGTATTATGATTATTCAAATTGTTGACCCCTTATGGAGTTATATACCAATATAGTCAATTTTTAATACCAATCAGCCTGCAATGTGAACCCTTTCATGATTTCAACTGCCAAACGGACGGACATACAGACCTACCACGTAAATACAACAAATACACTGGGACCGCACACATAAAATGAAACATTTATGTGTTTATCAGCTTTATCAGGATATTTAAAATGTTGACCCTTTTTGTGGGAGGTACCAGAAGGAGTGGACCGATATATTTCACACCAGGCCTTGAGTTAGTAAAAGTATTGTGATTTATGTAATTTGACAAGACAATCGGACTCTTACATCACATTTTATAAGAGTTATAATTATTCAAAATTTTGACCCTTCGTTGGAGAAGTACTCGATGGATGGACACTGATGCAAATATTAGGATTTGAAAGTTGGAGCAAAATCGAATTATCCCTTCTTTTTCTGTAGAGTAAAATATTTTGAAGAGTGTGGCTTGTTTGTTCGGGATACCGTAGTATTTTGTTGTTGCAAAATGGTCAGGCTTTATCCCTTTTTTGTTGTTTTTATAAAAACAACGTTAGTTTATTAGTGGAGAACGATGGTAATGTTTACCAGGGGGTAAGGCAGGGAATACCTAGGTTTCGGAAAGAGCCACCAATCCTCATCAGTTCCCTTGTTTTTTTGTCTGGGATATTCTCCCCAGAAGTTATTTTAAAAATAACTTCTATGACAAAAAACATTTTTTACCCAAGTGTCGAGATCGTAAGCTCAATAGAAGAGGAACCAAAGAATTAAGGTTGTAAGATTTAGAAGACTTTTCAAAAGAATTTTAGTTTTATTTAATTCTTTGGTTCCTCTTCTATTGAGCTTACGATCTCGTCACTTGGGTAAAAAATGTTTTTTGTCATAGAAGTTATTTTTAAAATAACTTCTGGGGAGAATATCCCAGACAAAAAACAAGGGAACTGATGAGGATTGGTGGCTCTTTCCGAAACCTAGGTATTCCCTGCCTTACCCCCTGGTAAACATTACCATCGTTCTCCACTAATAAACTAACGTTGTTTTTATAAAAACAACAAAAAAGGGATAAAGCCTGACCATTTTGCAACAGTAAAATATTTTGTTTGAAAATTTCGACCTATTGTGTTGGAGGTAACAGAAGAAGTGGACCGATAGTGCCCATCTCCGAACTCAACCCGAAGTTTAATAATAAAACCAGTAAAGAAAGTCCTAAAGTCGGTCGGGGCCGATTTTATGATACCCTACACCACTTTGCTAATTTAGTTGAGCTCCACTTAATAATTAAAAGTTTTTATGGGAGAATTCAATCATATACGCTATGATTATAATTATAATTTAAAATTCAAAGGACTAAATATGCCGAAGCATTTGTATCTTTTAAATTCGGACTTGTATTGCCCATTTGGTGCGAAATTAATTTTAAATCGGATAAAAATATATATGGAAACTATATCCAAATCTGAACCGATCTTGATAAAATTTGGCAAAGATATTTCTGAGCTGTATTTGATATATTTCCCTGAATATCGTTGTTACGGAGTGCGTATTACGGCTGTGGGTAACAAATACAACAAATCGGATGAACAATATATATGGGAGCTATAACTATATCTGAACCGATCTTCACCAAATTTGGCACACTACCTTCTAGACTAAATTCGGTCGTATGTGCCAAATTCCATCCCATTAGGACAAATATTAGACGTTTGGTGCACAATAAATGGTAAATCGGACGAAGTTATATATGGGAGCTATATCCAAATCTGAACCGATCTCGATAAAATTTAGCAAAGGTATTTCTGAGCTGCATTTGATATATTTCCCCAAATATTGTTGTTACAGAGTGCATATTACGGCTGCGGAGGACAAAAATAACAAATCGGATGAACAATATATATGGGAGCTATAGCTATATCTGAACCGATTTCGATAAAATTTGGCATACTTATTTTCAGGCCTAATTTGGTTGTATGTGCAAAATTCCATACTATTCGGGCTGATATTACACGTTTGGTGCACAATAAAAGGCAAATCGGACGAAGATATATATGGAAGCTATATCTAAATTTTTACCGATTATCTCCAATTTCAATAGGGTTCGTCCTTGGGCCAAACAAATGATTTGTGCAAAATTTCATCTGGATAGGGCAATAAATGCGAACTGTACTTTGTTTACAAAAATACATGGACAGACGGACAGACGGACGGACATGCATAAATCGACTCAGAATGTGATTCTATGCAGATCATCAAAAGGAACTACGGGTCTATCTCGTTTCCTTTTGCCTGTTACAAACAAATGCACAAAGACATAATACCCTGACCACCTAGTATAATTAGAATGTGTTAAGTTTGGACCGAATTGAATTATCGGACGAACGGACGTCGCTAGATCGATTCCGAATGACCTGAAATGGATTTGGTCCAAAGAGACCTAGGTTCTAAAACAGCTATTTCGATGTGGCACGTTTTGGCCGTATCAAATGATAAAGGGTGATTTTTTTTGAGGTTAGGATTTTCATGCATTAGTATTTGACAGATCACGTGGGATTTCAGACATGGTGTCAAAGAGAAAGATGCTCAGTATGCTTTGACATTTCATCATGAATAGACTTACTAACGAGCAACGCTTGCAAATCATTGAATTTTATTACCAAAATCAGTGTTCGGTTCGAAATGTGTGTTCGCGCTTTACGTCCGATTTATGGTCTACATAATCGACCAAGTGAGCAAACAATTAATGCGATTGTGACCAAGTTTCGCACTCAGTTTACTTTATTGGACATTAAAACAATCACACGAATGCTGTTTCTGTCTATTTCTGAGAGTGTTGCTGAAGACCGTGAAATGTCGATTCGTCGCCGTTCGCAGCAATTGGGTTTGTGTTATTCGACCACATGGAAGATTTTACGCAAAGATCTTGCTGTAAAACCGTATAAAATACAGCTCGTGCAAGAACTGAAGCCGAACGATCTGCCACAACGTCGAATTTTCATTGAATGGGCCCTAGAAAAGTTGGCAGAAAATCCGCTTTTTTATCGACAAATTTCGTTCAGCGATGAGGCTCATTTCTGGTTGAATGGCTACGTAAATAAGCAAAATTGCCGCATTTGGAGTGAAGAGCAACCAGAAGCCGTTCAAGAACTGCCCATGCATCCCGAAAAATGCACTGTTTGGTGTGGTTTGTACGCTGGTGGAATCATTGGACCGTATTTTTTCAAAGATGCTGTTGAACGCAACGCTACGGTGAATGGCGATCGCTATCGTTCGATGCTAACAAACTTTTTGTTGCCAAAAATGGAAGAACTGAACTACATGCCACACAGCTCGCGATTCTATGGCCATTTTGAGGGAGAACTTCGGAGAACAATTCATCTCAAGAAATGGACCGGTAAGTTGGCCACCAGGATCATGCGATTTGACGCCTTTAGACTATTTTTTGTGGGGCTACGTCAAGTCTAAAGTCTACAGAAATAAGCCAGCAACTATTCCAGCTTTGGAAGACAACGTTTCCGAAGAAATTCGGGCTATTCCGGCCGAAATGCTCGAAAAAGTTGCCCAAAATCGGACTTTCCGAATGGACCACCTAAGACGCAGCCGCGGTCAACATTTAAATGAAATTATCTTCAAAAAGTAAATGTCATGGACCAATCTAACGTTTCAAATAAAGAACCGATGAGATTTTGCAAATTTTATGCGTTTTTTTTTTAAAAAAAGTTATCAAGCTCTTAACAAACCACTCTTTATATACCCTATCTAGCCATATGGCTAAGGGTATAATGAGGGAGGTACTCGCTATAGTCCAACGTTTGAACATCGCAATATTAATACTAGGCCGAATAATACTGGACACAACATTTCAATATTTTGTATAACAACAACTTTTTTAAAAAAGTGAGTTAAAGTTCGTTTTTTTTATTAAAATTTCCCCTTCTCAATAAGTTTGCCTGTAATGAAAAATATCAACTCACTCTTCCGGACGTTCCCCAATAAGGTTGACAATTTCCGAAACATATTACACCTATATCTCAAAAAGGTACATTTTTTGTGTGAAAATTATATAGTTTGGTATAGTCGTTCTTTTACCTTTCTCGTAAAGGATAATATTTTATTTGTAAAAATCACAGCTCTAAGTAAATAAGAAATTAGAAAATAAATTAAAAAAGAGGGATATATTCAATCTTCACACACAGCATGCAAGCCATGTATACCACATATTTCCATATAAAAATCCAATGGGTATTTATTTTCAATTCCTTGCTATATATACCATTTTACAATAAGGTTGGATGTAAAATATTTAATCAACATTGCTATGGAATTTCTCATAACATGTCATCAATGGTTTTTCTATCATTGCTCTTTAATTTATTAAATATTCTAATTTCTTTGTTATATATTTTTTTCCCAATTCACCCCACAACACCATTAGGTTGTACAGGAGTACGAACGGGCTGTCATTTTCCGTTTGGGTCGTTTGCTGCAGGGCGGTGCCAAAGGTCCCGGTAAGTTCAACGTGGTGACGTCAACAAAGATAACATTGCTTCTCCTTTAGGCCATTTAGTTTTATTAATTCATTTAACATCGGTTTACTTTAGATATTTTTTCTGTCTGGTGTTTTGTTTATTTTTACATCAACAACTATTAATTTATGTAAAAAGAAAAGAAAAAAAAAAAAAGAAAAAACAATATGAAATGGCATTTTGGCGGTGATGATTGTTTGTTAAACAAGAAAAACAAAATAACAAAACTAAGTAACAACTGTAATTATGGCATTTAACATTCTAATGGCTAGTTCGATTTCTTGGAATTCGGTGAACGAAGTTAGGGGGGAGGGTTTGCCACAAGGCAATAATGGTTAACGTTAGAAAAGAATTTGAGTCGGAACATTTATTTTTTATGATTTTGTCGCACTTTGATATCTTTCGGTCATTCCGTGACACCAATTTCCATATACCCTGTCATTTTCTTTTTTTTAAGTTTAATTTTAAATTGTTATTCTTCTTCTTCAAATTCTGTACATTTAATAAAATGGGGTACAAAAAAAGGAGCGTTTAAAGAAATCGAGTTTGGCTGAGCATTTAAGCTTAGTTAGACGAAACTACGCCTGTATCATCAGAATTCTGGCTGAAAAAGAACAGAATGTAGTAATTTTGTGGACATTTTTCCAATAAAAATATCAGAATTTTAGAACGAATTTCCAATATGTTTATCTTACAGTAATAGTAAAACTAATGAAAGGCTAAAAATTTTAGCTCTAGCAGATTTTATAATATAAATGTACCACTTGGCAGCCTTTACCACCATACATAGTATGGGGGTATATTATGCATAGTATGGGGGTTCGTCATTTCGTTTGTAGCTCATCGAAATAATAATTTAAGACCAAACAAAGTACATATAATCTTGATCAGCGTAAAATTCTGGAATTTTCCGAAAATTCTCACAAGAAGTTCCTTGTGAGTACTTTATCCCTTTGAAGATAATTATCTATATCGGTTCAGGATATCGTATAGCCCCCGTATTTTTATACCCTCCACCATGCTATGGAGGGTATATTAATTTTGTCATTCCGTTTGTAATTCCTCGAAATACTCATGTCAGACCCAACAAAGTATTATATTCTTGATCGGCGTAAAATTCTAAGACGGTTTAGCGATGTCCGTCTGCCTGTATGTGTGTCTGTCTGTCCGTCTGTCTGTTGTAATCACGCTATCTTTCGAACAAATTGAGATAGAAGGCTAAAATTTTGCAAACATGTTAATTTTGCCAGTAGGCAGGTTAAGTTCGTAAATGGGCCATGTAGGTCCAAGTTATCACATAGCCCCCATATAACGGTACCTCCCGATATTCGGTATTTTGATGATTTTAGCGACATTATTTAACGGAATCGTTCCAAATTTGGTATTTGTTCGTAATAGATACTGCAGGATAAAGCAGAAAATGGGTCAGGTAGGTCCACGTCTTCGTATAGCCCCCACATACCATACCCCCAGATATTCGGTATTTTGATGATTTTTGCGACATTATTTACCGAAATCGTTTCAAATTTGGTATTTGAAGTTCGTAATGGATACTACATCCTAAGTGAAAGAAATGAGCCATGTAGGTCCACGTCTTCATATAGCCCCCATACAACGGTAAACGCCCCCCCCCCCCCCCCCTCCCCGATATTCGGTATTTTGATGATTTTAGCGACATTATTTAACGGAATCGTTCCAAATTTGGTATTTGTTCGTAATAGATACTGCAGCATAAAGCAGAAAATGGGTCAGGTTGGTCCACGTCTTCGTATAGCCCCCATATACCATACCCCCCGATATTCGGTATTTTGATGATTTTTGCGACATTATTTACCGGAATCGTTTCAAATTTCGCATGTGAAGTTCGTAATGGATACTTCATCCCATGTCAGAAAATTGTCTGTGCAGGTCCACGTCTTCGTATAGCCCCCATATAACGATACCCCCTATATTCGGTATTTGGATGATGTTAGCTACATTATAAACAGATTTTTCTTCAAGTTTCGCATTTAAATATTGTAATAACTTATGACAAAAGTTGCCTATGCAGGTCCACGTCGTCGTATAGGTATTCGGTATTTTTAAGATTTTAACAGAATTTTTAACGGATTTTTTTTTTTTTTGGAAATTGCCAAATTTGTACCAAATGGTGGAGGGTCTTAAAAGTTCGGCCCGGCCGAACTTACAGCTTTTTTACTTTTACTATCAGACAATCAGAATCAGACAATTTTTTTTAATGTAATTGTTTTAAAAGCCGCACAAGGGGTTCTTTCTGAGTACTTTACCCCCTAGAAGATAATTATCTAAATAATTCCACGTTTCAGTATAGCGTCCATATAACGGTACCCCCAGATAGTCGGTATTTTCATTATTTTTCCGGCTTTATTCACCGGAGATGTTATATTTCGTATCGTATATAAAGTTCGAACACTTACTACAGCCTATGACACAAATCACTTATGCAGGATCACGTCTTCGTATAGTAGCCAAATAACGGATTTGATTTGAGCGATATTTTTGACGACATTTTTTTGAAATCTTTCAAAGTTCTTCCAAATGTTGTACTTTTGAATACTTTCCGTACTCGTTTCATACGAATTTCCAAAAAAATCCGGTGACCCTCATGCAAAATTTCGTAGCACTAACTCTTACAATGTTGTACCATTTTGTACCCTTCATTACTTTTCGCACTCTTTATATATTAATTTTAAAATTTCACCATTTCGTATAAAATATTTCCAATTTCTAGCAATTTTTGATAGGTCATTAGCGATATTATATCCCTTTGCCTCTTTTTGTACCTTTAGAGTACGAAAAATCACTCCTCTCTCCACTGAGAATGACTCTCACACGACAGTTTAAAGATCTAGCTCTTATTGTCCACTCAGTAATAGAGTCAAACCATTTTGCACCTTTCATAGCTTTTCGTACTAGTAAAGTACCTATTTCAAAAATATAAGCCTCGTCCCAATTAGAATAATCCTCGTACTAATAAAGTACAAATTTTAAAACTATTTGATCTTGATTAGAGCAATCCTTGTACCAATTTTAAAAACTGTTTGCTTTTACAAATCGTTAATTGGTGATACTACGTATTTTTAAAACTACCACCAGATCTCAACACCAGATACCAACAGAGAAAATTTCTTTACCCGGTATTCAATGTACCACCTAGTACTTTTCGCACATCTTTAGTACCAATTTCCAAAAGCTCTTCCATATCTTAACCACAGACACCAACAGTGGAATCTATATCAAATTTCAGGATTTCAGCTTTATCCCTTCACCCAACACCAAATTTAGTAACATTAAGTACGTTTCGTACAATTATAGTAAACATATCCAAACCGAGTCCATATCTTAATTGCAGATACAAACAGATATCTCAGTATCAAATTTCGGAATTTCAGCTCTATCCTTCAATATCAGTTTTCGTACCATTTTGTAATTGACGTACAAACATATAGATTGCATTTCCAAAAAGAACGCCAAATCTCAACCACAAAAACCCATTTCCAAAACCTCTTCCATATCAAATAACAGTATTTCAGTTCTATTAATTCACGCAATACCATATTTTATTACTACTTTGTACTTTGCTTACAATTATAGTACACATATCTAAAACCACCTCCATATATATATTCCAGATACCAATAGAAACCTCAATATAAAATGAGAGGATTCCAGCTCTATTTCTATACACAAAACCAATTTTGTTACCACTTAGTACTTTTCGAACAATTATAGCACACATCCCAAAACCACCTCCATATCTTAACCACAGCCACCTGCAGTGGCATATATATGAAATTTTAGGAGTTCACCTCTATTCCTTCTCCCAATACCACCATACTTTTCGTGAAACTATATTGCATTTTTTCCAAACCACATATTTCCAAAGTACATATGAACTGCGCCCCTAATACTTAATTTCAGATTTCAAGCAATGATACCAAATTGAAGCCATTAGAGTATTATTTAGTACTTTTGATAGAATTATAGTACACAAAACCACCAGGATACACATGAACAGCGATCCTACTACCAAATTTCACTATCTATTTATCCGATACCAAATAGTACCAAATATAATACTATATAGTGCTTTCCGTACAATTATAAGACACATGTCCAAAAACATCTCTTTATCACAAACCTACCACCAAAAGGGAATACAATAAAATATTCTTGCTTCTTTATTAGTACTTTCGTACAAATATAGTACACATTTCCCAAAATCACCTCCATATGTCCAGGCTACACATGAACAGAGACTCTTAATACCAAATTTCAAGCACTGTTTATTCATCTAATACCAGATTGTACTTTTCGCGCATTAGATGTACAAATTTCCAAAACCACATCTTTATCATATACCACCACCGACAGGGATCCCAATACAAAATTCCAGCTTCATCCGCCCACTCTAAACAAAGCTGTTCCAAACATAGTATCATTTAGTACAGTTCGCGCACTTAGTACACATTTCCAAAATCAACTTCATTTATCAAACTTTCTTTCCAATCTTAATTCTCAAACCAAATTTCAAATTTTTAGCTCTAACCGTTCACATAATTCCAAATGGTACCATTTTAAAAGTTTAGTAACATTTCAGTACTTTTCGTACTGATTTAGTGCGAAGTTTAGTACTTTTCGCACCCTTATAATGCGAATTTCCAAAAACTTACACTTACCCCTATTTACCTAGACTGACTTTCGTGCAAAATTACAAGATTTTAACTCCAGCCGTTTCGTCTGGACTTGTCATATCCTCCAAGTATATCATATCCTCCAAAATCCCGTTTTAACCTACCCCATTTTTTGTACTTTTTGTTCTTATAAAGTACGAATTACCAAAAAATCCGCTTTATCTCTCCAAATTAAAACATTTTATAGTTTTATAACAATGTCGTGGCATTTGGTACCTTGAGGGTACGACTCTAAAAAAAATCCTCCACATCGTCCGAGGTGGGCCTCACACAAATATTCCAGGTTTAACCGACTCCTACTAGTAGCTAAACAGCAGTGTGCAAACATTTTTTAAATTTTAGTATCTTTAAAATACGATTTTTAAAAATCCTGCATTGGCTTACCCTTAACAACATCAGTTACCTTGGTTCCAGTAACATTTTATCTATTTATACTCTACACCACAAGGTGGTCAGGGTATTATGTCTTTGTGCATTTGTTTGTAACAGGCAAAAGAAAACGACATAGACCCATAGTTCCTTTTGATGATCTTCATAGAATCACTTTCTGAGTTGATTTATGCATGTCAGTCCGTCTGTCCGTCCGTCCGTCCGTCCGTCTGTCCATGTATTCTTGTGAACAAAATGCAGGTCGCATTTATTATCCGATTGAGATGAAATTTTGCAAAAAACATTTGTTTGGCCTAAGGACGAACCCTATTGAAATTAGAGATAATCGGTAAAAATTTAGATATAGCTCCATATATATCTTCGTCCGATTTGCCTTTTATTGTGCACCAAACGTGTAATATCAGCCCGAATGGTATGGAATTTTGCACATACAACCAAATTAGGCCTTAAAATAAGTATGCCAAAATTTATCGAAATCGGTTCAGATATAGCTATAGCTCCCATATATAATGTTCATCCGATTTGTTATTTTTGTCCTCCGCAGCCGTAATATGCACTCGGTAACAACAATATTTGGGGAAATATATCAAATACAGCTCAGAAATACATTTGCTAAATTTTATCGAGAACGGTTCAGATTTGGATATAGCTCCCATATATAACTTCGTCCGATTTACAATTTATTGTGCACCAAACGTCTAATATTTGTCCAAATGGGATGGAATTTGGCACATACGACCGAATTGAGTGTAGAAGCTAGTATGCCAAATTTGGTGAAGATCGGTTCAGATATAGCTATAACTCCCATATATATTGTTCATCCGATTTATTGTATTTGTTACCCACAGCCGTAATATGCACTCCGTAACAACGATATTCAGCAACAATACAGCTCAGAAATATCTTTGCCAAATTTTATCGAGATCGGTTCAGATTTGGATATAGTTCCCATATATTTTTTTATCCGATTTCAAATTAATTTCGAACCAAATGGGCAAAATAAGTCCGAATTTAAAAGATACAAATGCTTCGGCGTATTTAGTCCTTTGATCTTTAAATTATAATTATCATCATAGCGTGTATGATTGATTTCTCCCATAAACACTTTTAATTATTAAGTGGAGCTCAACTAAATTTGCAAAGTGGTGTAGGGTATCATAAAATCGGCCCCGCCCGACTTTAGGACTTTCTTTACTGGTTTAACAATATAAACGATGTTTGATTCAAACCTCAAACCCAATCCTTTTGAACTATTAACTTCAGGTACTAACGGAAGTTATAAACTTCAAATTTAAGTTCCTCAATCCAAAATTTATGCAAGCTCATTCGCAATTCAATAAGTCCAACTCCCTCTCATACAATGCTCATTGCAACCACAACCACCTTCTAATACATGACTGTTTTCCATTCTTGTTTCAGGTATTTTCTTTATTCTGCCCTGCATTGATACCTATGCTCGAGTAGATTTGCGAACACGTACCTATGATGTACCACCACAGGAGGTAGGTAGCACCGCTTCCCCTCAAAATTTCGGCGAAGAGCCGTAAACAACAATAACGCCTTAAATCATTTTTTGTTCCGGAGAAAATTTTACGATTTTAAAATTCAACCGTCTTTGTGGGATAGGTTTTTGCTGTTCTTATTGTTGTCGTTGATGGCTCTTCCTGTTCCTGTTGCTATTTACCATTTCATAGCATCGACATTGTTCACCATTGAGGTTCATCGTTTTGGGTTTTCTCTGTGTTTGTTTTGCAGGTCTTAACAAAGGACAGCGTAACAGTGTCTGTCGATGCTGTGGTCTACTATCGCGTATCGAACGCAACCGTATCGGTGGCCAATGTGGAGAATGCCCATCACTCGACCAGACTGCTGGCCCAGACAACATTACGCAACACCATGGGCACGCGTCATTTGCATGAAATACTCAGCGAACGCATGACCATATCGGAGACAATGCAGGTTTGTTTTGTTAAAGGAAAAAAGAAACATTTCGGCATCTGTATCACAATCAAAGTGCTTTGTTTTAGCCAAAGCATGAAGTTCATGAATTTTTTTGGGGAATAGACTGGGATTTATTTTTTGTCTTGAGCATGAAATATTTGGCTTCGCTTTAATGTTGGCAACCGTTTAAAGACTTACCTGTCGTCACACTCTGGTCAAGAATAATTTTTTTCCTGGACATATTTTCATATTTTTTTTTCTAAAATGTCACCCCAAAATTATCTTCGTTTTAAACCGTATGTGAACTAGTACAATGGTATATGTTAAATTTGAGATCAAATTCATGATTCTTGACAAATAAATGTTTTAAAAATCCATCATTTATAGGCAATAGGTCCTTTAAAAATCCACCATTTACAGGCAATAGGTCCTTTAAAAATCTCATGTGAAGCCAATAGATCCTTGAAAAATACATTATTTATAGTCAATTTGTCCCTTAAAAATCATCGTATGAAGCTAATAGATCCTTTAATAAATCAAGTCTTAATCGATCCTTAATAAATCAAGTCTTAACCGATCCTTAAATAAATCAAGGCACAATCGATCCTTTAATACGTCCACGCCCAATCGATCCTTTATTAAATCCACCCCCAATCGATTCTTTAATAAATCCACGCCCAATCGATCCTTTAATAAATCCACGCCCAGTCGATAATATATCCTTTAAAAAGGTCCTTTAAAAAATCCACGCCCAGTGGCCAATAGATCCTTTAAAAAATCCACGCCCAGTGGCCAATAGATCCTTTAAAAAATCCACGTCCAGTGGCCAATAGATCCTTTAAAAAATCCACGCCCAGTGGCCAATAGATCCTTTAAAAAATCCACGCCCAGTGGCCAATAGATCCTTTAAAAAATCCACGCCCAGTGGCCAATAGATTCTTTAAAAAATCCACGCCCAGTGGCCAATAGATCCTTTAAAAAATCCACGCCCAGTGGCCAATAGATCCTTTAAAAAATCCACACCCAGTGGCCAATAGATCCTTTAAAAAATCCACGCCCAGTGGCCAATAGATCCTTTAAAAAATCCACGCCCAGTGGCCAATAGATCCTTTAAAAAATCCACGCCCAGTGGCCAATAGATCCTTTAAAAAATCCACGCCCAGTGGCCAGTAGATCCTTTAAAAAATCCACGCCCAGTGGCTAATAGATCCTTTTAAAAAAGCCACGCCCAGTGGCCAATAGATCCTTAAAAAAATCCACGCCCAGTGGCAAATAGATCCTTTAAAATATCCACGCCCAGTGGCCAATAGATCCTTTAAAATATCCACGTCCAGTGGCCAATAGATCCTTTAAAAAAAATCCACGCCCAGTGGCCAATAGATCCTTTAAAAAATCCGCGCCCACGCCCTGTGGCCAATAGATCCTTTAAAAAATACACGCCCAGTGGCCAATATATCCTTTAAAAAATCCACGCCCATTGGCAAATATATCCTTTAAAAAATCCAGGCCCATTGGCCAATAGATCCTTTAAAAATCCACGGCCATTGGCCAATAGATCCTTTAAAAATTCCACTCCCATTGGCCAATAGATCCTTTAAAAAATCCACGCCCATTGGCCAATACATCCTTTAAAAAATCCGCGCCCAGTGGACAATAGATCCTTTAAAAAATCCACGCCCATTGGCCAATAGATCCTTTAAAAAATACGCGCCCAGTGGACAATAGATCCTTTAAAAAGGTCCTTTAAAAAATCCACGCCCATTGACCACTGTATCCTTTAATAAGTCCACGCTCATTACCCAATATATCCTTTAAGAAATCCACGCCCATTGGCCAATAGATTCTTTAACAAACCCACACCCATTGGCCAATAGATTCTTTAACAAACCCACACCCATTGGCCAATAGATTCTTAAATAAATCTCCTTCTATTGACCCATAGATCCCTTATTAAATCCAGTTGGCCAGTAGATCCATTAATATAAATCCATGACCACTACCCAATAGATCCTTAAAAAAACTCCACGCCAATATTTTTTTTAATCAGCGATTTTTGACCAGTAGTCTACCCAAATAATTTTTCAAAATTTTTGAAAAATATGAATAGAGGCCAGAAACGATTTAAACAATTATTTTCAAAAATCAATAATTTATAGCCAGGCAATCCTTGAAAAAAATCCCTATTAAATTTATTTTCCAATTTTTCAAATGCCATTCCAAATAATTTACAATTATCTATTATTAGGTACAATTGGATGAGGCCACCGATGCCTGGGGCATCAAGGTAGAACGTGTCGAAATGTAAGTTTGTCCAAATTTATTCCCCTTCATAACTATTATCTTTTAAACATTTCCAAATTTCCTTATTTTTTAGCAAAGACGTACGCCTACCCGTCCAACTGCAGCGTGCCATGGCCGCCGAAGCAGAGGCGGCACGTGAGGCTCGGGCAAAAGTTATTGCCGCCGAGGGTGAACAAAAGGCATCGCATGCTTTGCGCGAAGCTTCCGAGGTAATTGGCAATTCACCGGCCGCTCTGCAATTACGTTATCTACAGGTAAGAAAACAAAAAAAAAATCCATGTCGAATCATCCATGGCAATGGCTGCATCAATAATCAATGGCTGCATTTATTCTGTTTTTTTTTTTTATTTTTAGACCCTGAACACAATTTCGGCTGAGAAGAATTCAACGATTGTATTCCCCTTGCCCATCGATATGTTGACTTATTTCATGAAGAATAGCGAGGCCAAAGCTTTGGCTGCCATGGCGGATGCCATAACCATGAATCCACAATTGCAACAGCAACAGTAAGCGAATGAATAAAACGGAAGAGCGGCAAAAGCATCGTATGATGTGCCCTGCTTGTTTTCAACGATCATATTTTGGGAATATAAAAAATTAAAGAAAAAAAACAGGGAATTTATTTTTTCAAGTAATTTGAAATGTTTTTTGGATGTATTTGTCAACTTTTATTATTTATTTAAAGTCAAATGTATTTTGTAACTTTTAGATTCTTATACGTACATAAAATGGTTTCAAAGATGTGTCTTAATAAATTTCGAAATAAAAACATTATTTTGTTTAGTTTAACGACAATGTACAATCCAATCCAAGTTATCCAGGGATGGAAAATACTCTTTTAAATCAACTTTTCTATATATGGTCTCGAAAAAATATTTTTTATAACAAAATTCGAGTCTATATCTTTTGACAAACTTGAAAAAAATGTCTAAAAAATCCACGTTTGAAGACTGTGATGTTCCATGAAATCCATGTTTATGGCTGGGCACGTTTGTAGCTCTGAAAATATTAAAAATCCAAGTAGTAGATCTGGTAATTAAACAGAAAAAAAATTTAAAAATACTTAAGCCACTCTACAGTTGTTAAATTTATTCCAGTGACAGCTCATTATATTGTTTACAGGCGTACAAAAGCATTTTGTTGAGAATTTCCCAGAAGAAATGTTATTCGTGATGGAATTCAAACGTGATGGGGTGATTCCTTTATATTTGGCTGGAAAACCACATATGGCTATCGTTACAGCACTCCAGCATTTAAATGTGAATAAATCTTTTGTGTCTCGTACCATCGCTCGTTACCGTGATACTGGTAGCGTAGCCGGACATCAAGGAAGTGGAAGAAAACAGTACATCAGCAGAAATGGTTTGAAAAATAAAGAAGCGACTTGATCGAAACCCGCGTCGCAGTGGCCGAAAAATGGCTGGTGAGCTGAACATATCGCAATATTCCATTCGGCAAATATTGAAAAATGAGCTTGGGGTAAACCCATTGAAATTCCAAAAATTGCAAAAACTTACACCGCAATGAAAAGTAAATAGACTCAAAAGAGCTAAAGAGTTGCTGCCGAATTTGGTTTTCTCCTCCTCCGATGAGAAAGCATTCGCTGTCCAGCAGTTTGTAAACAAACAAAATTATCGTGTTTACTTGCCAAAGAGGTCAGCTGAAAATGAGCACTTTCGGTTGGCCGCTAGAACTCCATCGCCGGTCATGGTGATGGTGTGGGTCGCCATAACAACCGCTGATCGCTCTTCGCTCGTATTAATCGACCGTGGCATCAAAATAAATGCCAAATATTATCACAATATTCTAGAGGGTGTACTAAAGCCTTGGGCACGCAAAAATTTTGGCCGCAGATCTTGGACATTCCAACAGGACTCAGCACCAATGCACTCTGCACGCGCCACCCAAGAATGGTTATAACATGAGGTTCCTCGCTTCATTTCCAGCGCACAATGGCCACCAAAATCTCCGAATACCAATCAATTGGACTATTGTGTCTAGAGTATTTTGGAAAGCAAGGTTGGCACTAAAAAATACCAAAGCGACGATCACCTCAAGCAAGCGCTTCGCCGGGGATGGACTAAAATACCGTAGCGAAACATTCGAAAAGCGTGTGACAGTTTCATTGGCTGTTTGAAGGCCATAATCAAAGGTGACCAATTCGAACAAATCTAAACTTATTCTTAAATTTGATGCTATTTGCGAAATTTTTTGCTTTCATTTAATAAAATTTAAAAAAAGTGTAAAAATAATGGCGTTGGACTTTGTTGCAGTTTTTTTTTATCTCACTCTGTATATCAGCACCTATGTAAAGGTCAGCGAGAGAGGAAGATGGAAATATAAAATCGTGGGCCAAGGAGATATTTTTTTTAATATTTTTAACTGTTTGCCCCAATCAAACGAATAATACCCCATGCACATAGTTTTGTAGGTTATGAATATCCAGGTCTAAAAATCCACGTTGGAAGCTCTTAAATTTTAAATTAAATTTGTTTGAAGCTTTTAAGGTTTTTTTTATAGCTCTAGCGGTCTTGGAATTTTTTTTCAAGAAAACTACGCTTATATCCGTTAAGGTCTTGGAAAAATTATTTTTTAAAATGCCACGTTTGGAGATTTAATGTTCCATGAAAGAAAAACACTTTTAAAAGGTCTTAAAAAATATTGAAAAAAAAATATATATATATAAAAAATAGTGATATTTGAAAAAAAAAAACATTCATATAAGCTCTACAGCTCTGATATCTGATGCAAAATATCCAATCCAAATAGCTCTGATGGTACTTCAAAATATTCTTAAAAACCTAACATGCCGTGTTTACAAAAATATTCTAAAAAATCCACTTGTAGAAATATACTCTAGAGATATTTACGTTATAATATAAATACAGGATTATGGCTCTTCCAAATAAAAAAAGGAAAAGAAAAGAAAAAGAATAAAATTCCATGTGGACTTGATAGTACTCCTTTGTAGATTAACCCAAAAAAGGACTCTATGTATTCAAAACTATATTTTAGGGGACTTCTATAGAGAGAGATTCCTTTCGCAACATTTTGGATAGAGCTTTGAATAGATATCTTTGGTACATTGGTACAGAAAATGGGTCATATCGGTATGCTTTTTGGAACAGCACCATGTAGGGATAACTCCGATTTCAAGTGTTTTTTATGTTTTTTGTCAATTTTTTGGTGATCCTAGAAAAAAAAACCTTACTTTAAACAATCCATTTTTTATATCTTTGATGTGCTTGGGAAAAGAATTTGGAAAATTCTACGATTTCTCCGATAGTCTTTTCTTAAACCTTACAGCCCCTTTACAACTATTAAAATTTATGAATATTTTGTGAACGTTGAGTTTTCACAATTTTAAATCTTTCAAATCTTTTTCATCAAATTCTATATCACCAAACAAATTGGATACAGATTAGACTATGAAACACGAATAGCAAAAAAAAAAAAAACAACCAAACAGAATGCATAACTATTGTCTGATGCTTCGACTGCAACCAATCCGGTCCGTCATTTGTGCTGCTGTTTGCCAGACCATGGTGTCGTATGATTTATGGAGTGTTTGGTATTTTGGATAACATTCATACGCACACATGTACATCGTGATAAATATGGAAAAACTTGGAAACTTTGCCATTTCAGTTTGAATGGAATTTTGCTACATTCACCAACCAACCAACCAACTTTGGCACAAAATCGAATTCAAACAAAAGAGTCAGATGCTGGCAGATGTTCCCAATGCCATTTTTATGACTTCGAAAAATTTTCATTTAATCTACGGATAACAAAAGTTATTCCACGTACACATGAGGTGCAAAATGTGAACGTATTATGGTGAGTTTTAAAGGAATATTAATTTGAGAAACAAGCTAAGTAGAGGAAGATATGAATTCAGTGGAATTATGGAAATGGGAGTAAGTTCAGCTAATATTATACAATGACGAAAGATCATTTGGGAAGTTTTCTTGTTCAGCCTCATATTATTACACGATTTTTATATCCTCAGCCATATGGCTAGAAAGGGGATGTATCATTTGAGATGGCCAAAACATGCCTCATCGAAATAACGATTTTAGACCCCAGGTCTCTTTGGACCAAATCCGTTTCAGGATATTTGAAGTCGATCTAGCTATGTACGTCCGTCCGTCTGTCTTGCTGGCTGGTGCGCACGATAACTCTCAAAAAAAAGTATCCGATTTGGTCCAAACTTGGTATATCGTTTTTTTTCTTATCAAACTTGGATCTAGTTCGGGGAATGGGCAATATCGTTCCACTTTTTCTGGTACCTCCCACACAAAAAGTCAAAATTAAAAAAAAATATTAATAAATAATTTTACTGTACAGAGAGACAAAAGCTAATCCGATTTTGCTCCAACTTTATTAATTCTAATATTTGCATCAGTGCTATGCCAGATGTTGAACAGTGTCGGGCCACCCCATCAAGTACCTCCCCCACAAAGGGTTCAAACAAATTTATACATTTTAATTCTTATAAAATGTGAAGTAACAGTCCGATTGTCTTCAAATTAAACAAATGAACAATATTAACCCGTGGCCTGGTGTGAAGATGGAATATATATCCACTCCTTCTTGTACCTCTCCCAAGATAGGGTCAAATTTTTGAATATCCATGAAGCTCATAAAACGCGATATTAACATGCGATACCATTCAGACTTGGAACATTTCAATATTTCAATCAGCACAAGATCTGTTGTAAAGATGGTAGAGAACGGACAATTCCTTCTGGTACCCGTCCCAAGAAAGGGTAAAAATGTTGAATAACCAAAACTATCATAAGATCCGAAATAAGCATACGGTTCTTTTCATATTTCACACATCCCTCTATTTCTACAAACTCAATTTATGCTGTGAAAATAGGATATATCAGTCCATTCTCTTTGGTACCTCTCCCACAAGTGGTCAACATTTTGAATTTCCATGAAGCTCATAAAAAAGCGAAATTAGTATCCGATTCCATTCAGACTTGGCACAACACAATATTTCCATCAACGCAAGATTTGTTATAAAGATGGTAGTGATCGGACCATTCCTTCTGGTACCTCCCTCACAAAGGGTTAACATTTGAATAGCCAAAACGATCACAAACTCCGATTTAAGCATCCGGTTCTCATCAAATAGCACACGTAAGAATATTTACTCCTTGAGGTACTCCTTGAGGGACCTACCCTACAGTGGGTCAAAATTTTTAGTATCCATGAAGCTCATAAAACGTGGATCAGACTTGATCCATTTCAATATTTTCTTCAACACATGATCTGTTATAAAGATGGTACAAATCGCAACTTTTTTTCTGGTACCTCCCCCACATAGAGTTTAAGATTTTGAAAAGCAAAACGCTTAAAAAAAGCGAAATAAGCATCCAAATCCATCCATCCACCTCCTCAAATTTACCACATACAAACATTTTTGCTAGCACAACATCTCTTGTGAAGATGATAGACATCTGCCAACCCCTTCTGGTACCTCACCTACAAAGGGTCACAATATACAATACTTATATCTGTCATAACTTCCGAAATATTTCTCCTAACCAGAAATCTAATATGAATATATAATTAATCGGAATTTGTGATTTCGCATAAAATTGGATATAAATTTGCAATTTCCTTCACATTTTGCACAAACCAATATTTTTTATCGGTATTAGATGAAGTATGAAAATGGTACACTTTTGTCCGCTACATTTGTTACCCCACGCATATTTTCACATTTTCCAAAAATTTGCTCATATCTCATATAAAGTGCT